AATATTTATTATTTTGCAGAAACTTTGTAACTCAACTCATAATTCCTAATCACATTCCTACATATTTGTCAAGATCCCTAAACAATAAAACTTACTAAGCTTCTATCAAACTAAAATAAGGGTTTTCGCAATATTTATAAGACAAGAAAAAATTTTTTAAAAATAAATATATAATAGTTTTAAATAATATTAGAGTGAGAGAGAAAGGTTATAATACGTTTTCACTGGCTTCGTTAGACCAGTTAACTTACTTTAGATTCAAGTAATTTAAGCAATTTCAAGTAAGTTAACTGGTCTAACGAAGCTAGTGGAAACATACTATTAGAGTAATATACATATATAGGTATATAATATTTAAACGCAATTTGTAATATGTAATTAATTGGTCACATATAAAAGCATTATATATGTAATTTTTTTTCTATTTGTAGATATGGATATACTAATTTTAAATGACTACTGCCTCGAAGAAATTTTTAAATATATCAGCGTTGAAGAACAAATTTCAAACACTTCAGTTTGTATTAGATTTAAAAATATTATAGAAGGATTGTGGCGCCGAAACACAAAAAAAACTACAATTCGATGCGATAAATTTAGTGATACACAAATTGATTCTTATTTTTCCCAAATACATCATAACTTGGAAGAAGCTGAATTCAATTTATTAAGTGAATCAAATATTGAAACGCTAAAAAAGTTTGTTTATCCCAAAGTGACAGAATTAACATGTAGCACCTCACATAAGAAAAGAGGGGAATCGGATGAAGTGACAATGATGATAACAAAGAGCTTCCCAAATTTAACTAAACTTTGTTTAGAAAGTCGTATAACAGGAAAATATATTGGTTCTCTCACGAATTTAGAGGACTTAGATTTGAGTTGCTGCGAGTACTTGCATACAAGCCATCTTTCATCAGTTTTCTCTAAATCAAAACTAAAAAAATTAACAATCTTATTTTATGGTTACAGTACCACATTGGATTTAAATCTAAGAGAAATGAAAAAATGTACTAAATTAGAAGAATTAACAATGGATGATCATCATTTAATCATGTTTATGGATATTCTACTAAGTTTTATAAATTTAAGAAAACTGTCTTGTTATACTAGAGACTACACTGAATATCTGCTATCAAAGTTAGCGGATTATTTCACAAACAAAATCAAAGCAGTTTATATTAATAATTGTTTTTGGGGCAGAAATACGATTGTGTCTTCACTTCGAGAAATGGTTAACTTGGAGAAACTTTATCTGTTTGATGATGATTTGGAAGATAGTAATATGGAAAATATTGCTCAAGGTAATAGAAAATTACGAGAATTTCACTTTGTTGATTGCAAGTATGAAACCGAATATGGAATTTTGAATTTTGTTAGATGTTGTAATACCCTGGAGGTGTTAAACTTGTATGGGACCCAAATTACTAATAAAGAATTTGTTCAGAGATTGAACGGTATTATAAATGGCAGAATGAATCACAAACCGATAAAAGTATATTTTGGAGGAAAAACTTTATGTAAGAGTATATTTAATGTAAGTAAAGAAATGTATCTGTTACTTTTTTCATTGCATTTGTATTTTAGTAATTTTTTATTGAATGCAGTAATTATCGAAGTTTTATTAAAAATGCGGTGAATGTTAATTTTTTTTTTTTTGACGGTTTTTCTTTCATCGGTTTAGTTATTAAATCTATATAGTATATTGACAATAATTTTGCAAATCTTAAAAAAACTAACATGTATGCTATTGAGCTAGGTATATATATTTATCAAGGTTTTTCTTTTACTGCGATTTGGTGCAATTGCAGAAGATAACTGTTGAACATGAGAATTTGGATGCGACTACTTGAGTCTCTCTCGAAATTTAGGTGTATATTGGCGAATAACTTCAACAGTTGGTAAATTTAGATCTTTGTGTAGATTTTTATTTTTGACATACCACAGGGCGCACGTAGCTTGTCGGAGAATTTTATTTTGTACTCTCTGGGTTTTTTCTATATTTGTGTTACACGCTGAACACCACAGTTCCATAACATAAGTCCAAATTGACTGAGACTGAGTTTAGAGTTGCAATTTAGAAGTCAGTACTTATATTTAAGATTCAATTGACATCTTTTGGCTTCAATATGACTTGTCCACGGAAGCCTTCTATCTAGATGAATTCCCAGATATTTCACAGAATGTGATTGAGCGATAACTACATTAATTTGCAATGATCTTATTTTGTTATTATTCTTGTTGTCAGATGATGTATTTGCATATATTGTCATTATTTCTAAATATCTACAATATTTGGTTGGTTAAAAAATATTTGTAGTAATAATTTCAAAATATGTAGTTGCATTTCACAAAATTTTATAAATAATATGTACTGATTACGGTAGATATTACTGTAGATTACTGATTACTATAGATCCCCAAGTTAAGTGTATTGTGTGCTTTTATAAATAACGCAATAACTTTGCATATGGCAAAAAATCGGTTGAAGACCTAAATTACCGTCATATAAAATTGTCAAGACATCAATCACTTAAGTTTAGTTTAGTTGACTTTTGTATCTTGTTGTTCAACATATTTAATCAGTGTTAAAGGTTCAATAATATTCTCTAATAATGCATTATCTGAAACTAATCAATACAATGCTACTGCAGTTATTATTTGTTGTTGTTGTAAAAGCCCATTGGATGTGTTATTATATTCTATGTAATGTATGGTTAGTAGTATTTACTTATCTGTGTAGATTTATGGTAACTCTAAAACGTATACCCTAAAACTATTACTTATTATCGTTTCGTATTGTTTGCAATTTTTATAACATATTTGAATTAAAAAAAATTTCTTCCAAACTTTAATATAAAAACTTTAATATAAAAGATATTATTTTCTTTTTACAGGATATCCAAGACTTCACCTTTGTTTCAAATTACTTAGACTGGTTTATTACGCCTGAGTTGTTCCTAACAGAATTTTGTATTGACACATGGATCCAAATTTGATATTACTGGAAATTATATATATATATATATATACTATTACTAATAATATATATATATATATATATATATTTATTTATTGGGTTATTCGAAAAGTAATTTCGGTTTTTTCTAACAGAGGGCTTAACTGTGTTCTTCACAAATAAGCCGCATAATCATGATATATTATGACAGGTGGTTTAGCAAGGCTTGCATGTGAAAATATTTGTTTGATTTCAAAATAGTGCGAGAACCCATACAAATTTCTTAACTTGCCAAAAGCTTCGACTGCTTTTACCACCATATTCTATAATTCTGGTACCACTTGATTAATTATTATTTAATTTTTTACAAAATTACTTAAGTGGTAAAACTTTTGCATTTAATGAAGAGATAAAAAATTTATCTAAATCAAATAATAAATATTTTATGAGCGTGGAATCATGAAACTATTAAAAAGATGGCAAAAGATATTTGATCAGAATGATTATATATAATTCAGTAAAATATTTATTCACTATAAGAAAATAATTTTTCATTTTCATAAAACAAAAAAACGAAGTTACTTTCCGAATAATCTTTAATATGTATACTCATATAAATAATATTGCGGCTGTTATAAAATTAGAAACTTTTCATATAAAATATAAAATATATTCTAATAGCTGTAATTCAAAATATTTATTTTATTAATATTTTTAAATAAGAATTTTTTTAAAAAACTTTTATATATTTATATAGTTCATATAGTTTTCAGACAAAAATAACTAACTTAAAAAACTGATTAATAACTTATATTTTGTATAATATAGCTTTATGATCTGTTGAAAGATCTTCTGAAATTATATGTATCAATGTAAGAAGATTCCGATAAAGTAATATGTTTTTGTAAACTAAAAACACTCTCAGGAAAACATAAAATACGAGGGCGGTTTAATAAGTCAGTGGCTTTTTGAATTTCCCGCGCAGTTACTCCAAATGTAACAGTACTGCTGTCAGCTGTAATCTACCAGTTGGCAACTTTTTAATTTTGAGCAAGCTATGTCGTTCAGTTGGTGTTTGATAGCCGTTCAAAGCAGACAACCTCGTGAATTTTTACGAAAATGGAAAAAAGCGAATTTCGTGTGCTGATTAAGCATTACGATCCCAAATCCACGAATTGGGATACGAACTGCTACACTATCGAGCATATTCTCCAAATTTAGCCCCCTGCGATTATTTTCTGTTCCCAAACCTAAGGAAATAGCTGGGCGGTAAGAGATTTTAGTCATTATCGAAACAAACGCGTATTTTGAAAGCTTTGAGAAAACCTATTATTTGGAGGGAATAAGAAAATTAGAAAAACGCTGGACTAAATGTGTCGAGCTAAAAGTTGATTATGTAGAAAAATAAAATGTTTATTTTGCCGAAAAAATTTGTTTTAATAAGATCAGATTTTCAGATTTTATCAAGATCAGAATCAGATTTTAATAAGATCAAATAAGATCATTACAAAGTCACTGACTTATCAAACCGCACTCGTATTATACAACCAAGTACAAAACAATGCACAATTCTTTTATTTTTATTTATAATTTTTTATATAGCGAATATTTGTAATAGATATATATTTTTTATATTGTTACAGTTTTTAATGTATATTAAAATTATTAAATTCTATACGTACATTACAACTAAAACATGATTTTGTATGTAATCCCTGTAACCTAAACCAAAAAAAAAAATATTGCTAAAACGTTCTGTGTTTTTATATATTAGTTCAACTACAAAAACAAAGTAGATATGTAAATAGAAATAACTAAGCAACCAGATATATATGTGGCGATATTAGGTGAGAAAACTAAAACGTTCACATTACTTGAGGTGTGTATATTATTAAGAAATTTTAAGACATAGTTTACTGCAGCACCAGGGACAAAATTCAGTCCCTAAAAAGTTGTAGATCCAAAGAATGTATTTGTTTTTTTGAAAGAGACAGACAGAACAGACAAAATTTTTCAAGGTTTTCAAGGTTTGATTATCGGTTTATTGCATTTCCTAGATTTGTTATTGCTGGACATATTTAACTTAAAAGCATGCGTTGCAACTCACTGTATGGGTTTAAATACCTATTAACATTCTGTACTTCTTTCTATTGAACCACAAATTTCCAACTTCAAAGCTCGATTTTTTGAAAACTAAGCTATATCGGTATTTGGCGTAATGAAAAAAGTTTTTTAAAATAGCTGGCTTTGCTAAAATTTGTTGTTAAATGCTCATTATTCAAATCATTATGAAGAATAAATATATTTGTGAAATATCGGCACATCAGGTTTTAAAAATATTGTTTAAAAAAATGCCAATTCATTTAAATAATTAATATAAGTATAGCTTAATACAATTTACAAAACCATTTTTAGGAAAGTTTATTGCAAAATATTAAAATTGCTGCTTTTATATATTGAGGAATCTCACTTGAGTATCAAAAGAAACTATTGCCTAATATAGAAAGGTGCTTGAGTACCAAATTTCCCATGTTACTGATAATTTGATTTCTTATTGCGACATACTGGAATTTCTAATTATGATTTATTTTCTTTAAATCACTTATGTTTATAGTTTTAACATTTTCCAATTAAAGGTTCTTTAGTAGGTTTCGTTACCTTGTCCATATTTAAATTTTCTGTATTAAAAATACTTTTTCAGTTGCAATTTCGATAAATTTGGTTCCAGTCATAATTAATGATATTTCAGAAGAAACTCGAAAAAAAACATACGATCCTCATGAGAAAAATTTAATTGTTGTATTATATTTGATACTAATTGTTTTGTTTGTTAAATTACTTGTTGCGATATTCATCAACGAAATCTTTTACTTTACGATAGTAGACCACCGGGCTTTCTAACTGTGGAACCTAAGAAAAGTTGTTGGTTAGTTTTTGAATATTTTTTTCACGGATGAATACCTCATAATTTTGATTGATATAAAAGCCAGCAAAGACACCAGCACCAAATGTTATCTGTCAATGAAAATAATATTTAAAGTATTTAACAAAATTGTAAAACGCATTGACACTTACCAATGGTACAAGGAAGAAAACCATGTTGGAAAAGTCTTAAGAGAAGACTTAAAAATATAATTATTGCAATTTGTACTACATCTACTTTTGAACGATAAATTTTGTGTTTTCAAATATATTAAATAATTTTCTTACTTTTTGACTAATATATATAATTCTATATAGTTTTTAGCACTGACCTACTGTGTTTAATAACAGATTTGAATTTTCTTGTATTCCTAATGAAATATAAAATAAATTGTTAATGGTTTGAAAA